AATCTACGATTCATAAATTTAACTGTCTAATTTAAAATCTGCATTTCAATCACGTTGCATTCAAGTATAAATTGCATCTTCAATGCATAAATCCATTGATCTTTATTACGCTTTATGATGAAATTCTTTATCCAAAGAGGAAGCACAAAAACTGTCTGCCTTTTTATTTGAAATTCACAAGGAACTCTGTATACCCATATATACATACATATATACATATAAACATTCATATATATATTTATATATAAGTATATACAGCTAATGCACTGTGAATTTGAAACTCGTAGTTAAATACGTTCCACGGCGATAGGTTCCACGGCCGTGTTATGCAGACAATCTGTAAATCTCTTTCATGCACACTTTTATCAAATATTGCTATTTACTTTTGACGGTTTGTTTACATTTTTGTCTTCGCTGCCGCTTTCCGGCCTCAATGAGCCGACAGCGAGTCCAACAAATGCACACATACATACCCAATACCTTCCACAATCGCACACACACACAGTTACAACTGCAACTACAACTACAGATAGGGCACTAACAACTTCACACATACGTGTCGAGCTGCTACTGCACACCGCTTGCTCGTTCGCTTGCTCGTTCGTTCGCTCGCTTTGTCTGCCTAGTTGCTTGGCTGCCTGCTTGCTTCTGTGTGTGTGTGTGTGTGTCTTTATTCGCTTGTTTGTTTTGTGCTGTGCCTTCATCATCTGCGTCGTTGTCGTCGTTTGCTTCGGTTCGCTCTCCGGTTTTTGTTGGATCTTGTGACTGGTGTGGACGGCGTGGAACTGCCATCCACAATTGTAAAATAGTTTCGAAGCGTGTTTCAAGCCGTCAACGTCAACGGTTGCGGCGAGCGGACTGCGACGGCGCAAGCGACCACAACGACGGCGAAGTATCTTTTGCGATACTCGCACGAAATACAGCTAACTACAGCAAACTCTGTGCAAATGTAAAATGTTAATTAATTGGCCAGCTGCCCAAATAGCACTCCCAGCAATTTCAATGAAATACAACACAACAATTCAAATACTAATCGAAAGCTAAAGCTCCACTGATTAGTCAGTGCAGCGTGGCAGCGTTGCAGCGTTGCAACAAATAATCGATGTCCAGTGAAGCGTGCAGCTGCAAGGCGCGAGCATTTCACTTTCGGTGCATCCAACAGATACATTTGCGCTCCAAATCTGCAGCTGGTCGGTCATTGGCTTTTTTCGCGCTCTACTCTGCTCTGCTCTGCTATTGTAGTATCATCATACCTTTGTGAACAATGCAATTGCATTCATCAATTAAGTTGAAGTTGTGCCAAATGCGATCAGCCTAAAGTTTCTTAAAGTGCGTGCGTTAAGCAATTAGCATGTTAATTCGTGCGTGTGTTCGTGTCTGTGTTAGTGTGTTAATTAAAGCCACCTTGGCTGGCTGGCTGGACGGCTGGTAACAGTCAAAACAACACCCCTTAATACCAAATACCAAAACCATTAAAATATGTTAAACAGCACACAAAAATAAGAAATAATAAAAATAAAAACCCCAAACAAACAATAACAACAAACACGTTTTGTATCCGTGCGCTACCGGATGACGCGTATTGAGATATTTGCCATACAAATAAATACAAATAATATGCAAATCCACATCGCCGGTCGCCATATGTTGCTCAAAATTCCTCAATAAATTTGTTGTTCGATTGGAACTAGCTGCAACGCTAGTCTGAAGTTTATTTATAAATCATTAGCTCAGCACCAAAGTGCAAGCAATTATACAACACTGATTTCTGACTTTTGCTTCCTTACCTGTCTGTACCTGTAGTTCATGTAAATAACAATTGAAAGTGACATCAGCTTCAGCTCCAGCTCCAGCTTCAATTTCAATTCGAATTGCTTTTATTTTTTTCATTTTTTTTTTGTATTTACTTTTATCTTGCTACCACAATTTGTTCATTATTTATGCATACAATATTTGTTTTTTTTTTTGCTTTGGTTTCTCGTATCTTCAAGTGCCTAATTGCGTGTATTCATAGCTGGGCTTGTATATCGTTGGGCAAACAAGTGAAAATCCAAACAAATATGTCATACAGTTGAATTTAATGCTAAACTTAATTGCTTTGACTGGCTCAAAGTGCGTATGAGAAACATTTTCATTACAAAAAAAAAAAAAAAACCCCATCAAACGACGACAATGAAATTTCCGGATTATGTGCCAAACAACATGTTGGTAAGCAACAACAACAACAAGTGTTTACACCAAATATTTTTAAGCCAACTGCCTGCTTGCTTTTCTGGGGTTTTCCTTATAATTGTAGTCGTTAGGCAGCGTTAAATGCTCCATAAATCAAGGTGTTGCCACTTAAATTATGAATATAAATCCAAGCAATGCCCCCAAATCAACCATCTGAGTTCTGCTTACGAAGGTTGAGTTACATAAAAATGCTTGAAACTGGTCGAAACCCCCTTTAAAATTACGACAAAAATCTGAAATGAATCTAAAAGTGGTTTTAATTTATTTACTAAGCTGGCGACTAATGTGAACTTGAGATAATGATTGTTATCTCTGATTAAACATTAGCTCATTATGCAATGTAATAAAGCAGATAGAATTATTAACAGCATTTATAATGATTATTATGAATGGTTTCTGCTTGGTTTATTGTGGTAGAAATCTATTTTTTCTGGGCTTGAATTAATAAGAAAAAATAATGCTGAAGTTTTTAAAGAGATTTAGGGCAGCTTATTGTTTAAGATGTATATTTTTCTCGGGTTAAATTCATGAGAAAGAGAGTTGTGGCAGTTTGCTCTCATCTTTAACTAAACAAATTCAGATCACTTCAGCTCTAAAATACGCAAACATTTTTGGAATTCTCTACATCTATCTATATTCTATATTCTAGCTCTCCTATTTAAGATTTTATTGTCGGCGAATTTGGCAACTCAACAAAATTCCAGCTTTCCATCAAAGAACATTTTAAGAAGAATATTTTCCCGTGACTTACCTTTTCCAGTCGTTGCACACTTTTTTGTGTTTAGCAATTTTATGCATACGCGGATAAGTCATAAATCGTAGACGTCTCATTAGAGCTGTGTTTTCACTCGACACGCATGCCATATATGAATAATAAATTACATTCAAAATACCCATTCTCATGCTGCCCCTAAGGGAGATGCGAGCATAAACAGAACTACAAAGAAAGTATGATTTCCAACTCCAACTCCAGCTCCACTCCCCCGTTGTGATTTCCGCACGCATTCATTTTGGAGCACATCATTAAACTTCAGACTAATTTCAGTTGCAATTAAGTTAATTATAATTTTATCGCCTAGCCCCGCTTGCAACGGATCTTGGCGCGAGTACCTGCCACAAAATTCATACAGTAAATCTTTTAATATTTTCTTTGCTGCTGTTGTTGTTGGTTATCAGAGAAGCGAAGCATAAACTTTTAATGCAAAGACAGGGGAACATTTTAGACACTAACTAAAAACAAAACAAATGTCTTATGCTAATTTTAGGATGTGTAACGGGGTCACACAGAGTATAGTTGAGCATTGGGTGATTGCAACCAATTTCTACACCTGCAACCAAAAATATATATATAAATAAATATAAATATTTATAACTTTTAATGGCGCCCACGCGCAAGCGCTTGACTGAGCCCATCTAATTCTTTTGTGTTTGTTGGTTAATTTGGCTTATGGCCTAAAGTTGCTTAGTTTTATTTATATTTTCATTAGGCACACGTCGCGCACACAACCCACGTGAAATTATAATATTTATATATATATATTTGTAGTCCGTGCTTTTCTGTTAATTTCGAAATTGGAAGCGTCTCGACTGCTCGGAGAGCTATTTATTTCTCCATGTGTATTTCTGGCGCCCACCTCAAAGTCTTGCTGGTTTGGGGATTGGCACTCAGACGAGGAAATTGAGTGCAGCGATTGCTGCATGGGGCAACAACTACAACAGCGGATTTTGTTTTAATTGATTTATTATCGTAATATTGGATTGAGATCTAATTGGGCACAGCGTTCCACACTCACTGCTGGACACGAGGGTTCAGCTTCGCATATCGAATCAAACTAAAAAATAAAAATAAATAAAATAGGATGCCACCCGCTGTGAGTGTAAATGGAATGAACAATTTCGAGTTGTGAAGCTAAAATCAATTAATTCCTAATGACCGGTGGCTGTAATATGTTTTAAAGAAATACTTACAAGCCAAATGAGTGTTGAACTGAGTGTATTACATGAGTGTGCAGTGCATTTGTTAATACACACAATCAATTTCAAGCCCAGTGAAAGTCAAGAACTATTTGTATTAGTATAATAATAATTATAATTGCCATTAGTGATATGGTAATTATTATATCTAGCTATAATCGATGTATTCCGGTAAAATCATGTGAACAACTTTTTCTGCAAGAGAAAACGAGAGTTGAATTTGTACAAAAAAATATAAATAAATATATTCAACAAGACTCAACTGATCTTTATTGGAATTTTTATATTTTACATATCAGAATCGGAAAGGAAATATATTTCTGTTTCATAACCTGTAAAATACTCTACTCTATCAAAGACTACTTCGCTTCGCTTTTGCCTCACTCATCATATCATATCAACAAGCAGCCTTTTTAGCCATTTTTTTTTATTATCTATAAAAACTGCAGGGCATAAAATTGAGTAGTATATGTTGCCGTTTATTTGTTCAAGTTCGAGCTGCAGTTGAGCAAGTGTCTGTAAATTGTAAAACGGAAGTCACATTTGTGCACTTCCGCCTCGTAAACATATTTTGGTCGCATCGCTGGGCGGCCATCCTTAAACAATTTCAATTAAAATATATTGAAATAAATTGAAGAAAAAACAGAGAGAAAGAGAGAGAGAGAGGAATAGAGTTGGGTTCCTCATTTCTCGTTTGCATGCATGAAAAATATTTTTTTATTATTATTATTATTATTACAATACCTTTACAATGGCCTATGTCTAATTTTGTTGTTTCTGTTTGCCGTTTGCAGGGCGATCGCACCACATGGGAGTATCACACAGTTTCGGTGACTCGAGTGCCCGGCTACGGGTTTGGCATTGCCGTTTCCGGTGGACGTGATAATCCCCACTTTGCCAACGGGGATCCCTCGATAGCAGTCAGCGATGTGCTCAAAGGTGGACCAGCCGAGGATCGTTTGCAGTAAGTACATACACTATCTAGATACATACCCAAAGCTCAAACTACTAGTGACCCTCTACAATCGAAAAAGTTACTCGGCAAATATCTCATTCGAGCATTAACTTGATGAGGTTCTTCAGCTGGTGATAATTATATACATGATTCTGATGTGTCAGCTGTTGTCGCTCTTGTCTGACAGAGCAGGAAATTAATTGTTGTGTTTGAAAAGCGTTCAACATGCTGTTTTCTTCGCTTCAAATGTGCCCCCATTTGTTGCACTCTCGTTCGCTCGCCTTTGAGCTCTTGATCCATTGTTTTGCATAAGCAAATAAACACAAACTTTGCATTTCCCATTCGTGAAGTGCTTATGTTAATTTGTAAATCGAAAGCAGCTCAAGCTTATGTTTTCCCTCTTAAGATTAAAGTACTTTTCGCTTTTTCTTCTTCTCATATTTGTAATTCGAATTTAAATAATTTTGGTGTACTCCAGAATTGCTTACAAATATAATTTCAAATAGTTGAATTTTGATTAGATTTAAATCTACGATTTTTTAGATTGATGACTGCATCTATACTCTGAGATAATTTAAAAGTATTTATCAAAATTGGACAGCTGCAAATTATTTAATTTTTAATAGCTTTGCTTGTCTTTATTGAACCTAAAACCTAAGACATTTAAGGGAAAATCTTTCAATAGCATCTTTTTCATATATACAACATTTATAATGGGAACTTGGCTTAATATTAGAAAATTTACGAACGAATTAAAAACAATTTTGAGTAGCATTATTGCCACATTTTTTCCTCCAAAGTGTCGAACATCTTTTTTGTGTAGTTACTTATATAAAATAAGTAGAATATGGTCTTAAACCTATTTGTTATCGTAAATCGATTTATACTCCACAAAATTAAGCTTTCCTCAGCGTTTTCCCCATGAATTTTCGTCGAATCTTTACACTCTTTCTCTCTCTCTCTCTAATATGATATGCTTAGCATGCTGTGGCAAGCTTGGGTTCATAAGTCCAACAATTGACAGAAATTCTGACATCGTTAATCTTGCGCTAAGTACTTTAAATAAAACCCGAAGAAATTACACAAAAAACAAATGTAAATGCTTCAAAATTTCAGATCACGTATTGGAGCCTTCGAATAATTAAACCAACGCCTTCCGACTACATTTTGGCGGCTGGGGTTTGCCTATAGTTGCTGCGCTGTGTAGCTGCGTACCTTGTCCTATGTGTGTGTGTGTTGATAATAAAAATTCCAAAGCGTTTTTCCAAAGACGCGACGCGCCGCGCTGCGACGAGTCGCAGGCAGACACAGGGCAAACAGGGCAGAGCAGAGCGGCGCAGAGTCATCTCCTCTATATTCGTGCTTGTGTGATTAAAAACTTGTCATAATCTTTTTTCTTCCGAAACTATTTACACAGCAGTGGCAGCAGCAGACGCCGACAATAATTTAAGTTTGTCTACCTGCACTAGCTGCAATTGCTGCAATTTCAAAACAGAAAAAAGATAGAGAAGAAAATCCCGAGAATAGAGCTGAGGAAACATATTTGTGTGCGGCAGCGACAAGTGTAAATTAGTTGCACATAAAAGGCCGCAGCAGACTTTGCCGGCCGGCTATGAATAAAAAAAAAAACAAAAAAAAAAACATGTGATGAAAGCTAGAGACGAAGTTTCACTGTTATTCCAGCTGGAATGTTTGCCCAGCACATAGCACTGCTTACAACTTCTTCTTCTACTTTATTCCACATTTCTTGCCGCATTTTTGACCAGCTTAATTGCTAAGCCGCCGCATTCTTATCAACGGAAAGTAAAACGCGGCACAGATCCTCCACCAGCTCTTAGTGTCTCAGTGCCTCAGTGTTCTCTTCATGCGCTCTTGGACATGTTAATAATGTCGACGCAGACATGCAATTTTCATCATTATCAATATCAGTTGTCTGCACACAGATACATACATAGATACACACACATACATAGACATAGCCATAATTCGTCATGTGCTATTTCATTTGTAGTTGATTTTTACTTTTCTACGCGTCATCCTCTTACGTTCCGTTCCAAGAACAGTTTGCAACTTTGTTGGCACTTGTATTGTATCGGGTATACAATGGAAGTAACGAACATATATATATATATATATATATATATATATCTGTATACACATCTTTAGCTGAGTGTTTGTTGTAGGCTCAGGTATGCGCAGTTATTGTTCCGCAGAAGCTGCTTAGATGCCCAACTCCTCTCTCTCTCTCTCTCTCTCTCTCTCTCTCTCTTTCTCTGTCAATGTTGAACTCTCTCCACGAATCATTTGCCGCCTTATTCTAGACAAAGCCGTGTCTAGTCAATATTAGGCACAGAGAATTGTCTCTTTATTAGAGTCTGACTTCGATCCGATCGTAACCTGATTTCTCTAGATACCATTGATGATTACTCTATATATTCCACACTTGGCCACTTGGCCACTTGTCCACTTGCAATTCAATCTTTGCCGTGTCGCTTATGATAGTTGTTGTCTAATGATTGGTTTAATGAGCCAATCCGCTTAGTTGCTGCCTCGACAAGGTCGCCATCTAATGACCTGCATAAGTACATATGAATATATTAATATCGAAAGCCAGTCTCGACTGCAACTAATGCGAGTCCAAAGGCTTTACATGGATTTGGTTCAGGCGCCTGCAGCAAATGCAAATCTTTATTTACAATTGTGCATTATTTTAAGTCAACGTTTATTTTACATCTTAAATTATAAGTTGAATAAGCAATCAAGATATCTATTAAATTATGACATTATTATTATGTAGATTAATGGATATGCATTTATCTTTAATTTAAAAGTGAATAGTTAAATGTTGCCTTTTTGCTTTACAAGTTGAAAATTATTATCAAAATGCGAATAAATAAATGCTCTAATTCAAATTAATTTAATTAAATCTTAAATTTAAATTTAATTTGAATTCTTAAAAGGATAAATCAATTTCTTTTGTATTGCAATCGATTGCAGAAAATAATTTTTAGCTATTAATTAAAAGTTTAATGTTTAGAGATAATAATTATTATGTTATTAATCTAGTATAAACAATAAAAATAGGTAGGCTTGTGCATTGCACATAGTTTTGTTGTTATTTACACAGATAAATACTTTTTAGCAATTTCACAAATTATATTATTTAAAAAATACAGTTTTACTTAGCTGAAATTGAAATCAGCCAATACTTTCAGCATATAATTTACAAATATTTCTTTAAACTTAATTTTTATAAATGTTAGCGTCGAAGATATCAGAAGAATGTTTTAGATTAATTTGTAACCTTTTTCTACATCGAAACGTGCTTGAAATTTGAAGAACGATTAACCGTGGTTTATTTTTATTATGTTTTTTATTTATTTAAATGTATTTACCTTGCTTGATTTTAATGGCTTTCCGTCTCTGTGTGTTTTGCAACTTGCAGTGTAAATGATCGCATCATCACAGTGAATGGCGTCTCGCTGGAGAACGTGGAGTATGCGACTGCTGTGCAGGTGTTGCGCGATAGCGGCAATACGGTCACACTGGTGGTGAAGCGACGCGTGCCACTGAATGTGGCAACAGCAGCAGCAGCAGCGGCAGCAGCAGCCGCAACAAATCCCGCACAGCACCAGCACTCGCATTCGCACAGCATGAGCTCGATGGGATTGGGATTGAGCAATGGCAATGTTGGCGTGGCCAACAGCCAGGCGCCCAGCGCCGCCATGTCCAGCATGAGTCAACCCAATTCGTTGAACTCCTCGCTGGTGCAGACGACGACGGGTGTGGCGGGTGGCGGTGTGGTTGGCGGCGGTGCACAGCCGATTAAGGTCACCCTGACCAAGGGCAGCAAGAAGGATGACTATGGCATTGTGCTGGGCTGTCGCCTGTTCGTCAAGGAGATCTCGACGAAGGCACGGGATCAGCTGACTGCCAATGGATACTCGCTGCAGGAGGGCGACATCATAACCCGCATCCACAACACCAACTGTGCGGACACGATGAGCCTCAAGGAGGCCAAGAAGATCATCGATGGCTGCAAGGAGCGTTTGAATCTTGTCGTGCTACGGGACATTACCAATCAGGCTGCGTCAGCGCTCAGTCAACTGAACAATTCCGGACATCATCATCATCTGCAGCAGCAGCAGCAGCAGGCGGCCAATGCGAATCTGTATGCGACGCATCAGGCGCAGGTCTCCAGTTGCAGCAACAATCTGGACGATGCCTATCTGCCGGGTGGTGCGGCCTACTCCTCACAGAATCTCTACGTGCAGCCGCCGACGCGCACCTCGAACGGACCCAGCAGCGTCAACGGGCTGAATGGCCTCAGCGAGGAGAAGAGTAATCTGACGCCACGCGGACGTTCCCGTGGTCCGCTCATGGATGGTGTCTCGCTGCAGCAGCTCGATCGCCCCGTTACGCCCACCACAAATGGTGGTGTGGGACGTGGGCGGATCGATGAGCCACCGAGGCCACCGCCACCACGTGCCGCCCTGGAGGACTTTTACAGCTCACGGCGGCAGCTGTACGAGGAGCGTCAGAGTGCCGAGCCCCGTTTCATCTCATTCCAAAAGGAGGGCAGCGTTGGCATCCGGCTGACCGGTGGCAACGAGGCGGGCATATTTGTGACGGCGGTGCAACCGGGTTCGCCGGCATCGCTGCAGGGCCTGATGCCCGGCGATAAGATACTCAAGGTCAACGACATGGATATGCATGGCGTGACAAGGGAGGAGGCGGTGCTGTTTCTGCTCAGTCTACAGGATCGCATCGATCTGATTGTGCAGTACTGCAAGGAGGAGTACGACGAGGTGGTCACCAATCAGCGCGGCGACTCCTTCCACATCAAGACACACTTCCACTGCGACAATCCGTCCAAGGGCGAGATGGCCTTCAAGGCCGGCGATGTTTTCCGTGTCATAGATACGCTGCACAATGGCGTCGTTGGCTCCTGGCAGGTGCTAAAGATTGGACGTGGCCACCAGGAAATGCAGCGCGGCGTCATCCCAAACAAATCACGTGCCGAGGAACTGGCCACGGCTCAGTTCAATGCCACCAAAAAGGAAATGAATGCCAACGAATCTCGCGGCAATTTCTTCAGACGTCGACGGTAAGTCCTTAAATGATCAACATATTAAACTACGATATCTGTTTGAACTATATACCATATATCTGATGAATTATTGAAAGCCAAGTTTCTTAAAGATATCTAAGCGAGCAGAGACCATAAATAAAATATAATAATATATGTTGAAAAAGCAATAATCTTTATTAGGAAATTGTAATATATTCTGCGAAGATATCCGTCAAAAGACTTCCAACTGTAAACTATTATAAAGACCAAAAAAATATAACAAAATGATGACTTATCATAAAACGTGCCTTCAGCTCTTAAGCAGACGCTTCATTAGCTGCGATTTCTTAAAGATCTTGAAGCAAATAAAAAGAGCACAAGAAATGACTTTCAGGCGGACCTGACTAAATAGCTCATCGTATTTTTTTCAAATATTTATCGGAATAGTGATAAACTCCAGTAGAAGCATTTTAATACCCTCTACAAGTGGATTCAATTGACTTTTCCAACTAGCAGCTAACGTTCCTCTTCTCTCTGTCTGTGTGAATAGATCGACGCATCGTCGCTCCAAGAGCCTGTCACGGGAAAACTGGGATGATGTCGTCTTCTCGGACAGCATATCCAAGTTTCCGGCGTACGAGCGAGTTGTGCTGCGTCATCCCGGCTTTGTGCGTCCTTTGGTGCTGTTCGGACCCGTCTCTGATCTGGCGCGAGAGAAACTGGCCAAAGACTATCCGGACAAGTTTTGCACGCCACTGCAGGACGATGACAAGGCTAGCAATGGGAATGTGAGCAGCAGTGCCAGCGCCACAGCCACAGGCGGTGCTGGTGCTGGTGGTGCTGGTGGTGGTGGCAAATGCCGCATTGTGCGACTCTCCCACATACGCGACATAATGGATCGGGGCAAGCATGCGCTGCTGGATATAACGCCCAATGCGGTGGATCGGCTCAACTATGCACAATTCTATCCCATTGTCATATTCCTGAAGACGGACAGCAAGCACGTGATCAAGCAGCTGCGACACGGTCTGCCCAAATCGGCGCACAAGAGCTCCAAGAAGCTGCTGGAGCAGTGCCAGAAACTGGATCGTGTCTGGTCGCACATCTTCAGCACACAGATTGTGCTCAACGACGAGGAGTCCTGGTATCGCAAATTGCGCGACTCCATCGATCTGCAGCAGAGCGGCGCCGTCTGGATGTCCGAATCCAAGGTGAGTTCGATGTGCACCACTTCTCTGCCACATTTTTCATATATCTATCAATATTCAAGACAGGCGCACACAACTTGTTGTTGTCGTCGTCGTCTTCTGTTTCGTAGCTAGTCTTTAAGTCTGTGCAAGCATTTTAGTAGCATTCATAGTATCGATGTCAATGTCGATGTTGTCGTTGTCGTGAGTCTCTCTAATCATAATAATAATAATAATAATAACTGAAATACTTACGTTATCGATGTGTGTTAACTTGTCGACGATGCGTTCTTGGTGATGGGCCTGATCAAATCGAATTAAAAATTGCTTAGTTTTACCTCAATCATTGTTCATCTGATTGACTGACTCAATCAACTGTTGACAAAGTTCATTATTTTGTGTTTAGACAAGCAGTGAAACAGAACAAAAAGTGCCTGCCTTAATTCTTACAAGCAATCTAATAAAACCGAACTTAAGTCTTGTGAAATTTTAAATGAAAAAGTCTTAAAATTATTTTAAAAAAAAATCAATTTGAGAATAACTAAATTAGCAAATACGACAAGGTTCTGCTCTACAAAAGTTTATAATTTCCGAGTAAATCCTGTACGCCTCCACTATAAACCTGAATCTAACCTGAACTTGAACTCTACATTCACTAATTAATTTCATTTAATTTAAAAGTAACTCTTTAATTCTTAGTCTACAAAACTGGTTATGGTCAATATTCTAATTTTATTTTCTAACCTTTTTTCCCCCTCTTGAAACACACACACATACACACATACATACATACCTACATACACATTTACCCAACCGAAACATATAACCAAATTATGAACTCATATTAAATGGGGGGTGCAGCTTCCCGAATCCCCAACCGAAATGCTATTCCCACCTTATATTGCACAACCCTGCAAGTTGTCATGCTGCCGTCCCACATCGGTCTCTGTGCCGCGCTATAATGCGACGCGTCTGCGACGCAATTCCTTTTCGCTAATGCCCCTTAATGATAGTACGCTAACACCGCCGCCACGCCCACCGCCCATACATTATGAGCCAAGCGGTCCCTATAAGCGAGAGCAACAGCAACAGCAGCAGCAACAGCAGCAATTGCAACTGCAACTGCAACTGCAATCGCGTAGTCGGCAATCATTCAATATGGTGCCGATACTGAAGCCTGCCTCCTCCATGCCGGGCAGCAATAATCACCTGCTCGACGGCGGCTGTGGCATCGATAGCGTTGCTTGCGACGAGGATGCCACCTCGCAGTACCATAGCTCACAGCCGAATCTGTTGAGCAACAACAGCAACAGCTATCTGTATCTGCACAGCAATGTGCCACCGTCTGCGAATGGGTTGCACGCGGAGCGTGGCTATCGCACTCCGGCTGCAACATCGGGTCGTCGAGCCGTCTCCATTGAGCGACGAACGACGCCGTACTACTACCACGAGCTGTTGCAGAAGAACGTCTTCGATTCGAGTCTGAATCTGCTGCAGGACAAGGAGAAGAACAGCAATGTTAAGCTGGTGGAGGCGGCCGGCGCCACCAAACAGCTGCCATCTGCCGCTGCGGCTGGTGGCAAGCAGGTGACCACAACACCCATTGTCAAGCCACAGCAGCGATTGCTGGGTGCAAAATTGAGCACTGCCTATGGCAGTTATGCCTCGACCAGCGATTTGCTGAGCAATGGCAGCAACAACAACAACAACAGCAGCAGTGCCGGCACCTTGATCGATGATGGGTCGGGGGATGAGGGGGGCTTCAGGGGTACTGCGACAGCGGCAAATAGATCTTTAAACTTGGCCTTCAATAATCTATCCAATCAGATTGCCAATTTGAATAACCTGACAAATGGCAGCAGCAGAAACAACAACAACAACAGCAACAACAATAATAATAACAATGCTGATTCCAACAACAATGTGGGCCGCAACAGCAGCGAGTGCATTGCATGAGAATCGTTGTTAATTTAGTTGCAAGTCCAAAAAATTGCATGTAGTCGTTGCTCTAATCATAAATCGAAACCAAAACAATAATAATGCTGACTTGCTGTGTGTTTTTTTTATGTACATATATTTATGTGTGTGTAGTTAACCAGCATGTAGAACTCGAACTCAATTCATTCACTACTCGTCCAGCTTTACTCGTTACTACGTCAAGCAAGCCGAAAGCAAAAGCAAAAGCAACGAGTGCTGCTCCCGTAACCCAATCACAAGAATATCTACACATTACATAGTTAATATTAATACATATCTCATATCTACTACTCGTATCTACATATCTAGTTGTAAGTCTACTATGCAAAAAGATTTCCTCACTTTCGCAGCTAGAGTGAAGTATTTGTTTTTGCTATACCAAAAAAAAAAAGAAAAAAATACAATTTGATATCAAGTTGCTAACTAAATGTTTATCGTTTTCATTTGTTTCTTTTATTTACATACAACAAAATATATACAAAAAAATACAAAATACAAAAAAATACAATAAACCATACATCATCATGGTCATTTCCTGCTTAATCATCCCGTTAAAACACGATGCATATTAATCAACAATTATCAAACAATTACCCAAAATCCTCAAAAAACACAACACGCCATAATTATCAAAAAACAAATAACGAAATAATCAAACAAATTGTCCTCGTCCAAAACTAAAAATTATATATAAACAAACCAAATCAACTATATTGTGTTCGTCCAAAAAACAAAACAAAAAAATAAAAAAAAAAACATTTTTATGTATGCAATATGCTTGGCATTCGAACGAATTTCAATCGAACCTATCAATCATATTATTTGTTATGTTTCACTTACGTTTCTTGTTGCTGTTTTACAATCAAAAAAAAAATACAAAAATAAAAAAAAAAAACACGTTGGTTGCTCTTTCCCGATAACCGATAACCGATTACAATTACAAATTTTGCTCCCGCGCCAAATTCGAATATCGCTAATAACAAAACGCAAACACAAAACCAAATAAATTCAATTAACTCGCCTCTGCTGCTAACAAATAAATGAAAAACGCAATCAATTCAAAATAAAACAAACCCCAGCCCGTCGAATCCCTCTCCGATGATTTCCTATTTCCCATGACCACATCCCGTTTATCGTATGCATCAAGTCCCGAATCTGACTTGGAGCTAAGTCCCGGGCCATCCGCATCATTGTCGCTTGGCAATTTGCCGCAATTGGTTAAAGCGAGCTCAGATCCATCGATTGCCACTAACCAGGATAACTTGGATAGGGATAGAGACATAATTGGTGAAGGACTACCACCTCCATATACGGTAAGAGGCCACAATCAGATACTCTCAAATCCACTACTCACTGAGCATGCTGCCCAAAAACTAAACCAACACCAACGCTCGCTCCGGCCAAAACCAGATAATCCATCACTTTTGTGTATCCATCCATGTTAATCACAATGTGTGCTAATCTATTTCGCTACCCTTTCACATCACACCCGCTATGTGTTGCACCCCAAACAGGTACCCTATGATCATGGTGTGCAGCCGCCACCGAATCGCCGCCAGACCCTCGACTCCAGCAAGTATAGCATCTACGGCACCAATGTGCCACAGCAGCAGCAGCAGCAACAGCAGCAGCAGCAATCTGGTGATCCCTCAGCAATTGCGGCACGCCCCCAATCCCTGTACGGCATCAATGCACCGGATTTGCCGCCACGCATCGATCGTCAATCGAAGCCGGGTGATTTGCCACTCAACACGTCGGGCAGCTCATCGCGCAATGGCAGCTCGGGCGGCACTCTGGGCCGCAGCGCTCAGGAGCGTCTCTTTGGCAAGGCTGTGCTCCAGGACGATGTCCAGGCCGAGTATGTGACGCGCAATGCCTTGGTCGGTGCCGGTGGCGACACCATCGAGCGTCAGCAGCAGCAGTTGCAACAGCAGCAGGCTTCGTTGGACCGTCAGGCACGCATGAATGCGGCCATGGGGAGCCCGGCGCAGCACAAGACTAATGGTAATGCCAATGCCAATGCCAATGGAGGTGCTGCCTCCACCTACGACAGCGTCTCCAGCTACGACTCGTACAACAACACACAGCTGGCCATGCAGAATCTAGGCCGATTGGGTCCTAATGCGCCCGATGATCTCAAATCAGTGCCAAATGCAAGGTGAGTTTGACATTTTCAAATTGTATCTAATAAAAATTGGATAATATTTTCTATTTGATTATATAGAATTATATTATTCCTTTAACAGAAAAATGCAAAAAGTACAAAAGAAACAAAATTAAAACTAAAATTTAACTTAAAATTTAAAAAAAAAAAATAAAAAACTTTAAGATAAAAGTATTTTTACTTCAAATAAACATTTAGTTAACAGAGTAAACTATTTGAGATATCTGCATTTCTATAGTTTCTGTTGGTATATATTCAGCCCATTGAAAAGAACATTTAATTCCTGAAATTTATAATCTTTTTCTGTTATTTATCTTAAATATTCGATTTATGATTTGTTAGTTGGGTTGTATATAATAATTATTCCCAAAAGTTGGGTTTCTTGTAATTATATAGAATTCTGTTGCCCTGCAATGATTTCCAATTAATTTGTTTATCATTTTTCCAGTGGTCGTCCTTTGCCGCCTGTTGGTCAGCCCCATGACTATGGTCGATCCGTGCCGCACGAGCACCGCGCCTTTGCAGCGGCCAACGATCTGAATCGCCAAAGCAGTCCCGGCAGGCCACTCTACAACGAGATGAATGCGTCCCGTAACATTGGTAAGTGGGCCAGCTGTTTATATCCTGCAAGTATTAACTGTCTGTTTGTGATTACTTTCTAGATCCACGCAATGGCACGCCGCAGCGGCCCTCGAATCTGGGCTTGGATAGCAGTCCACGCAAGCCATTAGTGGAAACCAAAACCGATTACGGCAAATATAGGTAATTTGAATTCATTGTCCACATTTTTTTCCTTTTGATTCCTTTGCAAGATGTGTGGAAACCATAAAAAACTCTAACTCTCTCTTCCTCTTATGTTTACGACCATTTCGCATGCATTTTCAAACGATTCGCAACAAATTCGTAAATACAAAATCGATTGTAACTTTTCAATTTGTCGCTTTTGCCTTGTCGTTGTCGTTGTCCTTGTCCTTGTCGTCCATGTAGACGCTACCATTTGCATAATCCCCATGCCCAACACTTGCATTTGAAATTCCCATCGCATCGCACACAGCCGCCCACAGTGCTGCAGCTGAATGGTCTGCCCGGGCGACTGGGCAACCAGGATGCAGTTGCACCGGGCTTGGGCTACTGGAGTCGCAGGCCGATTGCTGCGCCACGCCTCCATATGTCGCCCATGTTGCCAGCAACTGTCTCGGCCTACGATACGCTCGTCTAAAAAGTGTCCACAACGAAAACCTGAACGATCTTTATATTCCATATACGATATTGCACCAATGTCAGCAAATGTAAACCCGATAAGAACCATAAATAGTTGTGTCCATTTATCATATTCCCATTGCAGAAGTGCAGCAGATTGTTAACTGCCTGTTTGTCATTTTGTCAATATTCCTCAATATTTTCTTTTAAATATTTGCGAGTCACATTTATCACAAAGCATTTACCATTCCTATTTGTTGGCAAGTCATTCTATTGTTTTTGCTTATTACCTAATAAAATGCGTTTAATGTTTAAAAAATCCTTTTTTATTTTGTTTTTTATACTGCATCCTTCCATACCTTGCATCCTCATAGCCAAGCGTGTATATAAACAACAAATAGAGCAAAAAGTCCCCATCTTGTCTACTGTGCAATAAACGATAACTGTATTCAAAGTATCAACTTGTGTTGTGTTCTTGTCAGTTGAGTCATTGAAGATATTGTAGTACATATATATATATATATATATATATTTATCAGATCTAATCATAAGTACATAGTTTATTATCACACACACACATGTCCTATAATTATGTCCAATTTTTTCTCTTTCTTGCTTATGTTTTGTGCCCATCAACAACAACAACAACACGATTCATACAATTTGTTCTTATACGCTATCAATTAAACACGAACTCGAACACGCATCACAACACCTGTATGTGCCACTACAACCACAAACACAACCACAACAACCAACACCACCCGCCTGTCACGTCCCGCAAACCACAACTATTTCACCAACAAATCGCAGCCGGAACAACTCCGTGTCGCAGGCGGACTACAGCAAATTGCCGAAGAATCCGCACGGTCAGCCGCCAAATGGCGGGCCAACGAATGGCAGTGCCACGCCCAGTAGCAATGGCAGCGGTCCGTTCAAGCCAGTGCCGCCGCCCAAGCCCAAAAACTATCGACCACCCGTGCAGAGCGGCGGCAGCAGCGGCAGTGGTGGCACCACACCCTGGGAGAATGGCGTAAGTAGATTAACTAAACGAATTACCGCGAAAGACCTTTCCACTCATTAGCTTTTTGCTATTGCAGGACTCGGGCTCGCCGCGTTCACCCAATGGCTTCTACTATCCGCCAACGCCCTCGCATCATCATTATGGCCAACAGACGCCGGCGCCCGGCTCACCGCATCAGGGCCAACCCAGCAATGGACACATGCAGCAGCCCACCTACGTTGCCAGCAATGGCAACTATGGCCAGGCTCCGTCCCAGCAACAACAACAACAACAGCAGCAGCAACAGCAGTATCCACAAGCTAATGGCTACAGTGGCAACAGTCACCACTATAATGGTGGAAGTGGCACTGGACCCTACATAGCACCACATCGAGGCATGCCACCGCCAATAGGTGAGTTGTGGAATTGGGATTAATGAACCGTAAAGAAACTAAAATTATATGCATATTGAACCCAATCTACTAAAGAAGCACAGCTTCAAAATCTTTCATTCTTCCAACTTGCCTAATTGTTTATTGTAAAACAAAAAAGAAATAATTTATATAAGTTGAATTTTGAAATGAATGAGTAGAAAAAATAAATAGTATAAATTTATAATACCTCTAACTGTTAATAAATAAGCTGAATGTCTATTTTATTTTATTTTATTTTTAATATTAGTTTGTGATTTCAAATTGAAAATTCTATTTCTGTGCTAACTTATACCCATTATTCGTAATTCCCGCAGGTAATCTTCCACCCCATACACCCGAGCGACATGCACTCGACCTGGCTGGCAGTCGGGAGCAGCGCGGCTCTGCCTTTGAGCTGTATCGTAAGCCGCAAATCGGCGCCGCTGTGGGGCACCATCACAACATGAGGTAAGTGCACATCCATTACTGACCCACTTGCATACACTCAATGTTTCCATTCCCCAACCTCCCCCCCAAAAAAAAGAAACATATCCACAAATATATTGAGAATTTCAACAGTTTAGCCAGCTGTGAGTGAGTGTGTTTACAAGTGTGTGTGTGTGTGTGTATGTGTGTGATTGGTTGTGTGTCTGAAAGAGAACCTTTTGAGACTTGAGCTAAAGCACACATCTCTACACATAACTCCGAACACAACTCCATATTCTGTACTCTGTCCAAGCTCCACATTTCTGTTAACGAAAAATGTTTTTATTTTTGTTATATGCCATTTTGTGTGATTTAAAATTTGACAAGAGCAAGCAATCAGTCAATCAGTCAATCAGTTTAATCAGTCAGTCATTCAATCGAAGCTCTTGTTACTGCCACGTATATATTCATATTCATGCGGTTGCTGGTCATTATAATGTTTAATTACAATTGGAAATTTTGTCGCAACCTTTTCACAAAACGCACAAAAAAAAATCGAAAATCGAAAGATGCAATATTTTTTGATTTAAATTAGAGACGCATAAATAATTATTGTATTTTGCAATAACCAAAATTATTAACCAAAATGCTTAACATATTTGCAAGCTGACAACAAAAAATCATTTGAAACGCTTCGCGCTGATAAAAAAAAAAATAACGAAAATAAAACATTTTTCGGGTTAACTTTTTTGCCATAAACAACAGTTCTACATTAGTATCTTTATTATTCTAGAATTTCTACATACACTTTACATAATCTTTGCTTCGAGCATTTTTCCATTTCTGAACTATTTTCTTCAATTAGAGTTCAATACTTTTGTGTATTTGAATCGATGGTTTTGGGTATAAAAAAACAAACATAAAAAACCACAATACAATTATAATTACGCTTAAAACTAACACCCAACAAAAAAAACAACAACTAATTGACATTTAGTATTCTCATAAATGCTGCTTCAATTAAATACTTAAACATGGTAAATGGTATTTTTTTGTTGTTTAATTACAATTTACTCTGCAATTTGGTTATTTTGCAAAATCAAATAAGTATTTATTTGACTTATTTATACAAAAAATTTTGTTATGCGCTTGTGTGTTTTTGCGAAAGATTTGCAGAAATTCGCGAAACAGTTAATAAAAAAAGGGACTTCAAAAAGATTGCGGTTCAGGCTGGAAATTTATTTTCATTTCAATTTGTGTGCTCAATTTAAACTATATTTAAATATATTTCCAAAAGATTGAAACGAAAATGGCAACAATTTCGTGAAAATTAATTAATTCGATTAACACGATTCTATGAATTTAATTCCGAATAACTAAGATCTCTAAAAAAAAACATTGATATTGAATTGAATTAGAAGCGAAAATACCTAAACTTAAAAATGGTATAATTTGGATTATTATGCAAGTTGCCAAATGGAATTTATAAAAATTATAATTTCTAAAACGAAAGAAGAAATTTCATCTTGGGCCGCATTCGTTAGGGTCTTTATCCAGTTCCAATTTGTAGTATTGTTTCCCCAAAGCGTTTTAGCACCACAACAAAAACTTTCTGCTAACCACCAAACAATACACTCAAAAAAAAACATATAAAATTCAAAAACTCTAGCGAAATGGAGCCATACGATGCGCGCTGCTACGATGATTATTATGCCATGCCACCACCCGGTCCTCATCAGCAACAGCAACAGCAACAACACCCACATCCCTATCAGCACCCCTCTCCCCATCCCCCTCCCCATCAAATGCAACGTTCGCGTTCCGCGCCACGTTATCCAAATGAGCGTCCGCCGCATGTACAGGATCCCAACTACTACAGTCACTACGGTACAGGCAGTCGTGGCTATAGGCGCCACGAGCAGCACGATCAGCAGCTGCAGCAGCAGCAGCAGTTGCATCCGCAGGAGCTGTACTATGATGAGCACGGCATAGAGATGCCACCACTGCCGCCACCGCTGCCCCCACACAAGACGAAGAAGAAATCGGTGCTAAAGAGCCCACTGGCAGCCCTGAAGAATGCCCTAATGAAAACCACGCGACCGCTGCGCCGCATGAACAGCATGGTGGAGCCGGAGCGGAAACCGAAGGGTGTGCGTCGCCAGCAATCGATGCTGGAGCGTGGCGTCCAACGGCCCTATTACCCGGACGAGTATCCCACCTATCCGGCTGGCTTTGACGAACGTCCGCCATTGCCGCCACCTGGTGACGCCTACTATCGCACTCCTTATCCACAGCAGCAGCACCAGCAGCAGCAGCAGCAACAGCAGGAGATGATGATGATGAACAGCACGTATCAGAATCTGGAGAGTGAGGATATCTATGGCAATATTGGCGGCACACAGCCGCGGCCGCAGAACAACGGCTATGCCGGCTATGATCAATATGATCTCTATGCGAATCGGGCCTGCATCGATCTGGAACGTCGCCAGGCCGAGGCAGAGGCGGCAGCGAACAGCGGACACAATGGTGGACGACGCATTGTGCGACGTCACAGCACCACAACAGCTGATCGTGGTGCAGCCGCACCTGGCAGACGACAGATGCCGATGCAACAGCAGCATTCGTCGCAACAACAGGAGATTTATCAGACACGCCACGAAGCCTATATGGAGCAGAAGCGACGAGCGCCCAACTCAGAGGTGATGACCCGCCGACGCTTCTACCCCGGCGCTGCCAATGAGCAGGGTGGCGAGGAGCCGCCGATGGAGCCGATGGAGCCGATGTATCAGTCACGTCGCGAAATGCAACGCGAGATGCAACGGAATCATTTGTATCAGTCCAAGCGCGAGATGCAGGAGCGCATCATCCAGGGCAAGCGGGACATGGAACGGGAGCTGAGTGCGCAGAGCAGCAGTCAGTCCGATGATCGCTCCGAGGAGCGCTCCGAACGTTCCGATGGCGGCAACTATCCGACGCGACGGGAGGCGACGCGCACCCAGCTCCGTGACCAGATCTATCAGACGCGACGCGAGGCACTCGACAGCATGGCGGAGCCGATATATGTCTCCAAGCGGGACATGGGTCGCCCGGCGCCCATCTATGAGACGCGCGAGGAGAGCATCCTGCAGTCGCGCGAGAATGAGACGGACGAGAAGAAGGAGAAGGTGTGCAAAACCGAGCAGGTGCTGGTGGAGATCAATAATGTGCAGCCCGAGGATGCGTTGGATAGCACGCTGAGTCGCTCGGACCTGCAGAAATCCTCAGATACGATCATCGAGAATACGACACTGATGCCCGCCAAGCCAGGCCAAGCGCCACTGGTGCAGGCTGAAATCGATGACGATGCCGAGCAGCAGGCGGATCCGGAACTGGATCAGGAGGCAGATAGCTCTGCAGAGCCAGCAGAGCAACCGACCACAATTGAGAATCGTCAGCAGCACAATGAGGCCATGTTGGTTAGCGAAACGCAAAACATTTCCGACGACGTCTTCGAGGCCACCGATCAGATAAGCCCATTGCCGTGTGCAGAGCCAGCTACTCCGGCCAGTTCCTCCTCGGCGGCCGCCTCGCCACGTGCTCTACGTGCGCCCTTTCACATTTCCAACATACTGAAGCGGACGGGTCCGCCGCCCACGGCACCCATCGGCGACAGTTGCACCTCCATTGAGACGCAGTACACCTCGCAGGCCAGTTTGCCGGTGGGTCCGCCCAATGCCACCAGCACTCCATTTAGCAGCAACATGTCGCTGCCCATTGCGGGTCCAGTTAGTAGTCCGCCTGCAGCTGCTCCTTCGGCTACTGCTGCTGCTGCTGCTGCTGCCACTGCTACGGCTACTGGTCCATTTCCCAGCTTGCCACGTGAGCCGAGCACGACGCGTGGCTTCTTTGATTCCGGCGGTGGCACTCTGGCCGACAAACTGTGGCACGTCTCGCTGCAGATACCGCCGGGTGCGATACCATCGGGAGTGCGCCAGGAGATCTACTTTACGGTCAGCGATCCGCGCATGGGACAAGCAGTTGGTGGACCACCGCTCGACATGGAAAATGGTTGGTCTAACTAACTCTAGTCTACTCTCTAGTCCCGTATTTGCTCGTAATGCTCGTATTGTGTTGTTTGTACCTTCCACCCACCTTCACCACCTCTTGCAAACTGCGGCAGCAGCAACAACAACAACTGCAACAGCAACAACAACAACAACAAATATAATATGCATAAAAAGAAAACAAAGCAAATATTTTTACTAAAGCAAATTCACATGTTCCTAAATATATATATACATATTTTTTATCTTTAGTTTTGCTTGCAATGTATATAAATATTTATATATTTTTGGATTTTTATGGATATTTTTTGTTTATAATTGTATATTCATCTGCTTTTAACTGAAATGTTTGCCTCTCTTTGAAAATCAATCTAGAAATGGTTTTCTGTATCTGTATTGTATTATTAATCTAAATCTAACTCTTTAGCTGGTGTTTATTTATTTTTGAATTAGTCTTGCATGTTTCTAATCTCGGTTGATTTGTAGTTACTAGTTGGTGAAAGAAGTAATTTAATAACTCACATTTTCTCAATTGCACCTGCTTATAAACTTCACACACATTTTCCCTATATCTCAACAAAATGCAGAACGCCTTTTTATGAGAAAAATATATGAAGATTAAACGAGCAAAGGGTTCCATCACTAAGCATACAATAAACATAATAACAAACAATTTATTGTATGCATAGTGGTCTAATGTAATAAATAATAAATAAGTCAATCTATTTTATTTTAATATTCTAATTTTGTTTTTGCCTAAATAAGAAAGTAATTTAAATATGAAACATTTCGAAATTCAATATTTTCTTTATTATAATTAGTTTCAATCACAAATCAGTTATTTAATTCTAGGCAAGAAACAATTACATGAATAATCATTTTCAAACAATTATCTTTCCTTAAATCAAACAGTTTACAATTGTAAAGTTCTAAAGTTAAAATAGGAAAAGTACCTCAGAACTTAGATAAAGTCACATTTCTTAAAATTAAATACTGCAATTAATATTTAAATTTCAAATCAGAAATCTTAATAGATGTATTCTCTTGGAAACGGTAATAATATTTCCATTCCTTAGGCAACAAAAGGTATTTTTTTATTTATTATTATAACTATCTACTACCCGTATTTGTTTTTTACTACAACTATCTATTTGAATGCTGAATTGTTATGCTATTTACACTCTATATATATATTATCCACTTACTTCTTCACTGCCAGTAACACTTAAAATCTTACTATTTTGCTATTCTAAAGAAAAGAAATACACACACACCAACACTCGCATTTCTATTTGCAATCAGATCTACTTCTAACTGGCAAGAAACGAGTTCTAATCAATGTCAAATGATTTCCATCACAGGTGAAACGATGTTATCGCCACTCGTCATGTGCGGGCCGCAGGGCCTTGAGTTTCTGGTGCCGGTTACACTCAATATACCGCACTGTGCCGGACGCACCGCATCGCTGGGTCTGGCGCTGAAGGCCACCGACAGTGAGAAGAACCTGCACACCGAATGGGACAACATTGATCTGCCCAGCAATGCGGCTGCTCACACAGTGTCCGTCAAGGTGGATCACTTCTAGGCCGAATAGCACTATGGTTAAATATTTATAGAGAGCTAGTAGCTCATCATAAAACACACAAAAACCCACACACATGGAAGGAACCGAATAATAAACATTTAATCGATTGTAAATAATTTCATTAAATTACACATTAAGCCAGAATTCCACGACAAGAGCGCAACAAATAATAATAGCAACTTAGGCATTGCTTATAATAAAATTAATTTAACTTAATATTGTTTGTTAATTGTGCCTTTAAGTGATCGATTGCTTCTGAACCAAGTGTCGTATAAAATAAGCGAACGAGTTAAAAATTGTACTAAGCAAAAGCAACAAAAAATTCTGTATAAAATTTTTAGCATATAGTTTGATAACAAACAAATTGTATATTTTAAAGAAATTTATTTACATTTATTACTATGTATGTATTTTAAAAGTTTACATTATTGTACTCAAATCGAAAATATTTCATTCTAAGCGACTTGCAAACTGTTTTTTTATTTGTGACCCATTTTATTGCATTGCAAATTTAAATAGTGTGCAAATTTTTTGTATACAAAAGTTATACATATAAAATACTTTTATATTAACTACATAAACCATATAGCCAACAAAATTAGTATATATATATATATATACATATACAAATATTCACATTTTTGTATTAGAAATGAATGATATACAATTAGAAAGCTTGGGAATAAATAAAGGAGCATCAACAAATAAATTAACAATATGTGTTTTGTTCAATTATTTTTTTATATTATTTTATAGTCAAAATGTTCGGGACAACAAATTATATAGCCTACTTTTAGGGCGATTGAAAATATTGCAGAAATTAGTCTGCTGAAATATGTTGGCGACGAGAGAAATGGCTGGACTGGAATGTAATCAAGGATTATAGGGTAATTTGAGGAGCCAACACAAGGACTCCTTTTGTTACAGCTACATATTAGTAAAAGTCGATCATTGAAAATGTAGACAAATATGCGAAATATATATTTTAAATACATTCAGAATGACAAATAGCAGCTGTAGGCATATGCGTATGTATTTCATGTGTATGTAATTTACACACATATATATTTATATATATAATGATGTATGTATATTTAGGTATAGGTGCACTGCTTGACAACGAAATGTAACAAGAGCTGGCAAAAGCACTTTTAATCTTATAGATTAACATCGAGTGTCGGCTTCCAGAGATTGGAGAGTTAAGGATAGAATTACATGACTAAACGCCCAGTTAAATTGGTAACAATGGTAACAGTCTTGGAGTCAGGTGGCTCCTACGCGGATGGCGCAGTCGTCGGTGTTGAGGGGGTGGTGCTGGTGCTGGTTGTTGTGGCGATGGTTGTGGCTACAGTTGTTGCCATCAGCACCTCCTGTTCTGGTATAACGGAGACAGCCTCCTTAACATAGCCGTATATATGTTTGCGTGTATCATTGACCACATCGCGGACCATGGCCTGAAAGAAGCTGCTGTGCAACGGCGCCTCAGCATAACGTTCGTATTGATCCAGCGAGTCCTGCAGCTTGAGCGTTAGGTCATAATTCTTGCGAACGACATCAAGGATCTGCTCCTCCGTGGGCGTGGACAGGCCCTGCTCGGCCAGCCACTCCTTGATCTTGTTCTGGAAGTGTTTAACAATGGCGAGTATATTAACCAGAGCATTCAATAGTTTAATAACATCATCTTTAAACTCGCACTCCGGCATCGTCGTATACCGCAAAACTGCAAAGATTACGAAACAAATCAAACGGTTAAGCTAAGTAATGTGAATTTAAATTAATTCGCATACCCATGGCATGGATTTCGGTGAATACTTTTTCCTCCCGATTTAGCTCGTAGTACAGCTCGTCGTAGCTATTTGTTGTGGCCAAGAATGTGTCGCCGTACGTGATGAACAGATTGAATATGTTGATCACCTGCAGCGACAAGTGAAAGATGTTGCACTTCTTGACCAGCGTCTGCTCCTGGTTGACCAGGAAGCGCAATAGACCAATCAGTGCCGACCACAGCTCCTTCCACGGATAGTTGAGCCGGACGCGACAACGCTTCTGATAGCACAGAATGCGATGGATGACACCAATGCACAGCAGATACAGCTCCATGGGAAATTTCTTCATTAAATGCGACACAATGAACTCCACGAGCAGATCAAGTAAAGTGGCAGCCAATGGCTGCGATTTGCCCACCCGATCCACGTTGAGTTTGCGATGGCGCATCTGGGCACGATGCAGCATCACCTTGAACGTCAAATTGTTGTCATGCATCATTGAGTTGGCATACTGATCCTCCGATATGCAGGTGAGTATCAGGAAGCACAGCTTCAAATTGGCAATGCTCGATTCATTCTTATTATCCTGCATGACAATCGAACTGCAGAAAAGAGAGATCATAAGCAATCAAGGGTACAATTATAATAATAAGTGAAGCTAACCAATATTGAAAGACGGCCACGAGCAGATTTGTGGGATACTGGGTCATGTCGATGATTGGCGCATTGGCCAGATCAGGCACCGGTTGTGTCAGACTCAAAGTGTTGCTGGGCGAGGGCGGTGCACTCGACTCCGCCTGGGTGTGCGCCAGCGTCGTAATGAAATTGCGATTCAGATGCACTGCCTCATAGAGGGCCAGCAGCAGGCCATTGTTGGCCTTAATCTGTTGGACACGCTCGCAGCCCTCATCCGAGACGAACATGTTGCCAACCATATTCGAAAGCGAGGAGAACCACGACGACGATTGCACATTGTTCAAACTCTGCATGTACTGGCGGCAAAAATCAATCAGCGACTGCGATATCATTTGACCATAACTGAAAGACACAACGATAAAAATGTTATACTTATATCGTATCACACAAACAATAGTTATTTCTAGTTACCCATTCAAGGCCAGCTCGTCGGCGAGAATGGAGAGCTGCACCACGTAGGGATTGGTGGCCTCGTGCTTGCGATAGTTGACCAGAATGGTCAGCAGTATGACGATATCGTGTCCATGCTGTGCCCGAAATGTGGGATCGCTGAGAAGACGCACAAAGGCATCGAACAGGCTGTGCATCATCAGGTACTCGAAAAGCATATTCTGCCCCACATCTGCGCCCGTCACCAGCACCAGCAACAGTTTCAGGCACATGAACCGGGCATTTTCGGTGACATCGCCCAGCAGAATGCAATTGCAGTGCTTCATCAGCAGTTTCAGCCAATCGTCCATTGCCTCGTGGCCAAATATCTCGTTCAGTAGGCTTAAGCTGGCGTCCGTGCTGCACTTCTTGAATATGCCATAAAATAGCGAACATAATGTCTGCAAGCTGTTGCACAAACGCTTCGGATGATCCTCTAGGTGTGGTGGAGCATATGATTTAAATAGCTGCATCGGCGACAACAGAATTCACTTACCCTTGGCTGTGTCCAGCATTTCGATGCATTTCTGGAATAGGGTGTTCAAGTTCGGCTTCACCAATTGAACTTGTTCGCTGTTCAGTTTGCTGATCTGATCCTCGAGTGATTCAAAATTGGGCTGCAGCAAGAAGAATTCATTCCAAAACTCTGGGCTATCGGCGCTGGGATCCTCGCCGCGGCACAGCAGCTCATATATATAAACAACCTTAAGCAGATTTTAAGATGCACCCAAATTAAAGTCCAACTGGGTTAAATCGAGCAACCAAGGAAATTAGTGCAAACCTTTTCCTTGGGGCGTTTCGTTGATCCACTGCCGCTTCGCTTCCGTGACGTCATGTTGTTGTTGTTATCTGAGTTGTTTGAGTGGTAATTAGTCAGCTTTTTGGGAGTTGGGAGTCGTCAGCCCTTTGTTGCTATTCTTGCTGGCAGTTTGACATCGGCAATCGGCAATCGGAACTCGCATCCAATACACGCTCAGGCCAATCAACTGGATGGATTATTGAATGAATGAATGTTGAAACGTGTGAACAGATTGCGGATTGATGCAGACTGTTGCGAGACACGCTTTCCAACACTGGCGGCTCGCCTCACAGCTGTTGTGCAATTCGATTCCATTTTGTGAACTAGTTTTTTTGTTCAAGTTTTAGGGACACAGGCTAGTTTGCTTTTATAAAAACGCTCGAACAAATTAGAAATAATAATATTTGCACAGCCATCATTGCAATATTCACATGTCCATTTCAATAGCGCAGCGTTAATCCGGTGCAATCCAATTATTTTGTGATCGAATATAATTGCTCTGTTTCAACCATCAAGCAGCAATCAGCCGCAGAAAGAAGCAGCAGCAAAAACAACAACTTACGACAAAAAAAAAGTGAAGAGAGAAGAGAATCTAAAAAAAAACATGTCCAGTCTGCCACGTCGCATTATCAAGGAGACGCAGCGTCTGATGCAGGAGCCGGTGCCCGGCATCAATGCGATTCCCGATGAGAATAACGCGCGCTATTTTCACGTAGTCGTCGCCGGTCCAAACGATTCCCCCTTCGAGGGCGGCGTCTTCAAGCTGGAGCTCTTCCTGCCCGAAGACTACCCGATGTCGGCGCCCAAGGTGCGTTTCATCACAAAGATCTATCATCCGAACATCGATCGTCTCGGTCGCATCTGTCTGGATGTGCTCAAGGACAAGTGGAGTCCGGCACTGCAGATTCGCACCATTTTGCTCTCAATTCAGGCGCTGCTCAGTGCACCAAATCCGGATGATCCGCTAGCCAACGATGTCGCCGAGCTGTGGAAGGTCAACGAGGCGGAAGCCATACGCAATGCTCGCGAATGGACCCAGAAATACGCTGTCGAAGACTGAAGAGTCCTGCTCGAAAAATTCTACTCACAGGGCGGTAGCTAATTTCTTGGGGGGAGGGGAGAGTGGGTGAAGTGGAGACGTCCTTCGCATCAACCAAACACCCACCCACCCACAAGCAATGCATGCAGGCAACCAACAAAACCGATAACATACACACATAATATTATTATTTTTTTTTGTATATTTAAATAAGTTGATGTCAATGCGATATTTGTGGATGGAGCAGTGCAGAGATACATAAATACATACATATAATGATAGTGCTACTTATATAATAAACGAATTAATGCTAAATTCGATGTAAAATCAAGCATTTTATTTTTTCCAATAAATTATGTGCGTATTGAAAAATAAACACTCATCGTTATTTGTCTGAAATGATTGCAATTGATTAGCATAAATATGGATTGTTTGCATTTCGTGTCACGAGCAAGCAACTCTCCATCTATTTAGAGAAAGGCAACAATCGAAGACTATATTAAACTAGAAAGTAAACATCAAATACAGAAATGACTCACATTTATGGAAACATGCATGTAAATATAAATACTCTTAATATAAAGGTTAATTTACTTTCCTTACTGGGACTGGGAAAGCTTCTATGAACAGGTTCAATTGGAATAAGAGGGCTCACACTGGAACTAGTTCGATAAAAACTACGCAGTAAACCGTGTGTTTGATTTCGACCCTTCTCTCATTCTTCTGGGCAGCCTTTCATATTTCACAACAAATCAGATAATAATCAATTGTTTTGCATCAAGTACACTCTCGAAACAAGTATGTCTCTGATCCGTAACTCCTCCCGACTTCTACAAGCGCAGCTGCGTCGAGTGCAGAGCGTGCCAGTGGCATTATACCATGAGAATGTAAGTTTCAAAATGTAACTCATAAAAGTTCTTTCGTAATATCTTTTATATATTATACATGAATGAATTTACATCGTTTATTGATAAATCAAAGATAAGAAAAACATGTACAGAGATATGACTGTATTTTTTGACAGGTCGTCGAGCACTATGAGAATCCCCGCAACGTGGGCTCCATGGACAAGAAGGATGTCAGCGTGGGCACCGGATTGGTTGGAGCTCCTGCCTGCGGCGATGTGATGAAACTGCAGATCAAAGTGGATGAGAATGGCAAAATCATCGATGCCAAATTCAAGACCTTTGGCTGCGGCTCGGCAATCGCCAGCAGCTCGTTGGCCACGGAGTGGGTTAAGGGCAAATCCATTGATGAGGCAGGCAAACTGAAGAACACGGATATTGCCAAGGAGCTGCGTTTGCCTCCCGTCAAATTGCATTGCTCCATGCTGGCCGAGGATGCCATCAAGGCTGCTTTGGCCGACTATAAGGTCAAGCAGCAGAAGAAGGAGGCGCAATAAATCGCCATAAATACAAATATATATATATTCTACTATGATAGCAATTTACATACATACATATAAATTATATATTGGGCTTTAGGCTTTGTAAGTATGTGTGATACTATGTGCTTGTATGTAAATCATTAATCCATTGTATTACAGGGTGTGATTTCTGACCAGTGTGGAAAGTGGAATAACAATGAGGAATAGATGGAACTGAACTTATCTGAGCGATGCGTGCGTGAATGATTATTAAAGTATGCGTGTGTGTGTGTTTGATCTTGCGTGTGTGTACGGAAGCTAACTAACTGTTGGCTCTCAAATAACAGTTTGTGTCGAGCGGATGCCATTTAAATTTTAAAGTTATGCAAAACAAAAGCTTATAGTTTATACACCAAATGTTTGAATATTAAATAAAGTGTTTATCGATCGTGAATATAAAACCGTTTTATTTGTTAAATAATGTTACATGTTGCAAATAGTAAGTTGTAAAGAGTGTTTTTGTCCTGCTCAATGGATCTTAACCTTAAGAGAGACGCACGCTGACCCCGCCGCCGCATTCGCCCTTTGACTTGACTTCAAATGCTGCAAGTAAATATAAATAATTATTTATAGCAGCCATTGAATAAAATGTCGGCCAAAATGCTTACGATCATCGGCATGCTGGCAATTGTAGTTGGACATGACGCACTGGCTGCCAAAAGTTATTAGACGCTCCTTGCTGCTGTTCCTGGCCTTGGCGCAGACGGGCGAATAGTCATCGCCGCAGGTCCGCGAACAGCTGTCGGCCTGTTTCTTCGTATCCTTGGCAGGGCTGCCAACGACGAATGCCAACAGGCAGAGAGCTACGAAAAAACAGTTAGTTCTTTCAGTTTCATCAAATAAGCCATATATATGTATGTATATATAAACTGTATTTTCCTTATCTGGAGAGCTGTCAGTAAGGTCAGTGTATGAGTGTTATATTTGTGTGTATTTTAATCTATGTTTATTAAAAATGGTTTGGTTATCAAGAGTGTAAGTAAAAAGATTTTACATATAGGCAATATAAGTACATATATAACAAATATTCCAAAGTCATGGTTATTATTATAGAAATTGTATTATATCTTGATTAGAACTGCTGATTGGTCAATGTTTTTTTTCTTTCTGTTTTTATCCATATTAAAAATTTATTTATTCCAGTCTGATAATAAATAATAAATTACCCAGAATGGTAAGCAGAGCGAAACGCATTTTATATATCCAATATTCCAAGAAAAAAGTCGCAAACAAAATACACAAAATTTCACGTAAACCGGCTTTGAGACGAGTTAGAATAGAACTGAGCTCCAGTGAGATTTATCACCTTTATATACATATGTCAAGCTCGCATTGAACAATAGCCACACACACACACACCTAACACATACATAGATGTGATTTAGACTATATATATATTTAGTGTGCTGATGGGAATCACTCAGCCCACTGTTAAATTGGTGTACATATATTAAATAAGTAGACTTGAGCTTGAAGTGCATTCATTCATTCGTTCAGCTGTATTGGTAGAGGTAAAAATGGCAATGACGGGAGTAACGACGGCAGACAGCAAGTGACCAGTTAATGGGCCCATCCAATCGCAAGTCGGGAAATAGGAATGGGCGGCATTTGACAGACACGCGTCAAATTATTGCTGACATTTTACCCTTTTGTCCGAAGATGTGGGTGGATAACGAATGTATGCATTTAGCGATCCAATTAGCGAAGATGAAGGCGTTTCATCTAATTGACATATTTTTCGGTGTGCTATTTATTAATTAGTAGCTTAGTATTTTTATTGTCAGCTATTTTAAAATGTAATTTTGACCCACTGTGCTTGGATTACCGTTTGTCATTCTTATGCTTCACTCGAAAGGGAAATAAAACAAATGATCAAATTTTTACATACATTTGCATGCGCATCGTGTGCAACTAACGGGAATATTCCCCTCGAATCCAGTTCACGTGACATTATTTACTCACTACAAGTAAGTCTTTATTGCTCTAATTTAATGGTCTTGTTTGTGAGAAGAGCATTTCAAGATGAGTGATGTCATGCCACTCATTAAAATTTTGCACATATTGACAATTAAGAGTCATAATACAAGATGCTTAATCTTTAAGGTGCACGGTTTCATACACAATTAAGAAAATGGCAGGGATAAGAAAGTTATTCTCTTTCAAGGCAGATCAGTATTATTTTGTTTATTTATCATTATTATTCCTATATTTTTGGTAAAAAAAATAACATCGCTGTGCTAACCTTGAAGTTGCCACGATTATGATAATCGGTGAATTGAACCATATTACATTTTCAATTAAAATTAATAATTTTAAACATTTTTCTTTTGGATCGAACAAGTTTATTTGGGCAATTGTTACACTGAATTAAACGATTTTAAAATTTTTTGAGGCCTATAATATTTAATAATTTTATATTCAAAGGATGATAGTCCCTTTGCTATATAATGCTTATTCTCAACAAATTATGAGAATATTTAAAATCAAACGAAAAAAGCACAAAGTAAAACCGTGTAACTATAAAATATCTTTAAAATGTGAATAACTAAGCTTGTCTATCGATATCAACCTCGAGTATCGATAATCAAACGTGCGATATATCGGTATTGCGATGTTTTTCACGTCTCTAGTTTTCACAAAGGCGATGCGTCATTTTTCGCTCAAAACGTTTGCAATTTCACAATAGGGAAGAAAGTTTTTTTTTCTGGCATAGTACAAATTAATACATACTTTGATAGAGCTAATTTTGAATGTTGAAAAGGTAAAGTACAAGAAAAGGGTCTATCCGAGAAATAGAGCACATTTTAGTAAACATTTTAACTGCTTGCAAAATTCGAAAAATGGAGGAATTTATGAAATTGGTCGCTCAATACCAATGCAAATCGTCGAGTGTTGATCTAAGCAGCTCTAACAACGACAGCGATAGCGACTTCTATCTCCCATCCCCTGGACTTGCCAAAGATGCAGAGAGCTGCACGGGCGGCAAACGTAAAGCGGCGGGAACAGCAGCTCGACTGCCAACAAGGCGACCCGATCCCAACGTTTACAATCGGAATGCGTTGCTCGCCCGGGAGAATCGCCGCAAGAAGAAGGCGTACATGGAGTCCGTGGAAAGGGAGCTGCACGAGACGCGCAGCGCCAACAGATCCCTGCTGAAAGCGCTAAAAAAGCAGTTCAAGCTAACGCAAAAGCTCGAGAAGGAGTGCACATATCTCAAGGACACACTGGGAAGGACACACTACAAAGAGCGCAAAAAAAGCGTGCAGATTTCATCGCCAGACAACAGAGATATCCAAATCAACAGAGCAACTTCTCCCGAGGGTTCCCTAATCTCAACGTATTCGAGCAGCAGCAGCTACGAGCCGAATCCAATGGAGACGATGTTGATGAGTGCCGAGAAGAACAATGGTAGTGTAGCCGAAGAGCAGTTTATAAATGAGACGCCAACAAGTTCATGGAATGATTTTATCGATGATTTATTAACAGATTATCACACTTCGCCAGCGGAGTATAAGAATGAACTGGAGCAGCTTCCTCTGCAGCCAGTGGACATTATTGACGAGCACAGCTACTTCAATAAGTTTGCGCAAATCGATTGGAGTCCCAACTACGAATGGAGTTCCAGTCGCACTCCGCCCACGCAGCTCCTGCAAGATGAGGATTTCTTGATCGACGCCGCAGGCGACGAATATCTTGCAAGTCTATAGAAAAAAATATATATTAATTAATATTAATGTTTTTATTAAGTATTACGTTAGATTAAGGCACACAATTCTTTATTCTGTGAATCGATATAATTCTTTCCATTATGACGACTTTTGTGTATCCAATTAGTTTATAGCCCGTGGAGAGTTTATGATAGAAAACCCGCCTTTGTCATCGATGTATAAATTTTTGCTTCATAATTTCAGAATTTCAGGCCAATTTGGAGAGGCGCGTTGGGTTCTTTTTTGGATCCAGCTCGCAAATGAGAATATTTCAAGGTGGGTTCGATCGAAGGTTGCAAAAGAAAAGTTCCAATTGAGTCTATGATCATCTTGTTGTCCCACTCTTTCAGCTGCGGCCACAATTAAAGACGACACTCGAAATCTAACGGATTTCTCCTATATACACACACTTATATAAATTGTCCTCATGGAAGGATCTCCTGATGAGCTGCAGACTTCAAGTGTATTTCATACAATACGAAGGCTTTGTTCTCGTTCGATTTGTTTTTTTTTGGTATATTGAAAAAGTTACAAAAACCATACTAATTTATTTGGATTCTGACATGTTGCAGATGATTTTTGATCACACAATTGATCGATGTTTGATGTTTGTTTACATTGTTCAAAGTGGTGGACAGTCAGGCTTGAAACGACGGTATGTATTTCTATCATAACTCCCAAAGAGGCATCTTCTATATATATATTTATATGTGTTTCTATTGTTGATTTTGGAAAGAATAATCGATATAATTTCATAAACAAAATAATTATGCATTTGTTATTGAACCCAAATAAAGATATAAGTACACAATATTTGTGACTAAATAAATAATCGTTTTTTATTTTCTGTATCGACTAAGAGCTGATTGCATTACAAATCTGATCGATTAAACAAATTCTCTCGCTGCGAGAGATAGAAGAAGGCATGTTCTCTAGTGAAATATGCTCACAATTTCCATCAGTATTGTATTATCTCCATTACTGCGTTTATTACTTCAAATACGAATAAATAGTATTGTGTTAAAAACTTCAACAAATATATATTTGATTTGGCAAGATATTTAAGGTAAAGAAAGAAAAGTTTTTTATGTTCATATAAGTTTTAAGAAGAAAAGTTGCAAGCACTTCGAATATTATACACCCTTGCAGACTGGAGTCACCCGACCGACAACTAAACTGCATTATAAATTCATTTATGAACTATAATTTAAAATGGAAGATATATTCTTGAGTGCTGCAGCAACAACATATGCATTACAAACAGTTGCGAAATTATGTTTGCCGGATAAACGTTTGGCAATGGCTGCAGCATGTAGTAGCAGTAAATCGATAGAGAAATATGCTCAAATGTACAAATTTTATTTGCGTATATAATTATGTGTGGGTATGTTTGACATGCAACATGCAACACGCAACACTTGACGACAACTTCGATTTTTCAGTTCAGGCCTTTAGCAACTTGGCGTGGTATTCGATGTGTTCGGCAACGAAAGTGGCGATGTAGAAGTAGCTGTGATCGTATCCCTCGCGCTGCTTGAATATGGTCTGAATGTGATCGTTGCCAGCAGCGGCCGCCAACAGATTCTCTGGCAACAGTTGTTTGCCGGTCAGAAAGTTGTCGGCGGATCCCTGGTCGATGAACAGCTCCTGCGGTGTGCTGGCATATTTCGAGACCAGGCTGGTGGCATCCCACAGTTGCCAGTCGGCCTTGTTGGTGCCCAAATAGCCGGCAAAGGCTTTCTGTCCCCAGGGGCATTCCGAGGGATTTGCAATTGGTGCAAACGCCGAGACAGACTGATAGAGACCGGGATTTTTCAAGGCACAAATCAATGCACCATGTCCGCCCATGCTATGGCCAAAGATGCCTCGCTTGCCAGGCAATGTCGGAAAATTGGCATTGATCAGTTCGGGCAGCTCCTGGGTAACATAGCTGTACATCTTGTAGTGCTTTGACCACGGCTTCTCGGTAGCATCAACATAGAATCCAGCGCCGCTGCCAAAGTCATAGGCATCATCCTGGCCGGGCAGTTCTACTCCACGTGGTGATGTATCGGGATTCACCACGATAACTCCATGCTTGGTAGCGGTCTGCTGGAAGCCACTCTTCTGCACAAAGTTCTCGTGGGTGCATGTCAATCCGCTCAGAAAGTAAAGAACCGGGCATTCGGTTTTATCCTCAACAGCCGCCGTTGGCAGAAAGACACCAAAGGTCATGTCGCAATCCAAGACTTTGGAGTGATGTTTGTAGACACGCTGTTCGCCCTCAAAGCATTTTGTGGTGGACACTAGTTCCAGCTGCATGTTCTGCAATTTTAATAATTTTTAGAGTTAGGCAATAACTGAAAGAATTGACTTACTTAAGATGATTTTGGGTTTTTGTTTTTAAAAAGAAGCAAGTGAACTAAAATGTAGTTCAACTTATACCGGTACCAGGGATCCATCAAAATGTGCAATACTTATATTTAAAATCAGTACTATCCTACCAATATTGTTCTATTATATCCTAAATTAATTTAATTGAAGAATCTAATGATATTCGCTTAATATCGCAAAATATTATTAAATTAGGTTCGCCGAATGAACTAAGAGCTGTTTAGCGATCTGAAATGCAGCCCTGAAGCAGTGCTGTAAAATGCTTCATTTGGATTCATTTACAACACTAAACTTTAGCATAGCACCTTATAAGTAAATAACCCGCCAACTGTATTGTTTATTTCACTAATATTTTAATATTTATCAGTAATATAATGTCCGAAGAGGCTCCAAGCACTTCAACGTTTGGCTTCAAGAAGCGCAATATTAACAGGGGTGCCGGCATGCGACGGAAAAAAGTGAGCACCAGCAGCAGCAACGAATCAGGTAAACATCAAAATCGGCGCAAAAATGAAATGCGAGTAATATTAATTTAATTCGACAGCGAAAAGCAGCGACGAGGAGTTGCAAAATAAAACCAGTGCCTTAGCTCGTGCCGCAAACCGACGGAAGCGTACCAATCCCAACTTTCAGAGTACCAAAACGTCAGCCAAGCGAAAGCCAGATGCCGGCTCCAAAGGCGCCGATTCATTGGGCAGTGGGACAGAGTCGGGCGGGGACAACGATGACGTAGGCGTGGCGTATAAATCAAAACGCGAGGCGATTCCAAGCGGACCGCAAGATCAGGGCGCGACTAGTGTTAATGAAGTGGACACAGAACTGGATCGCGATGCGCAGGCAATCCATGCGCGCTCTCTGAAAATCAATGAGGAGCTGGAGGGCAAGGCGGATGATAAACTGTATCGAGGCATTAACAACTATGCGCAGTACTACAAGAAGAAGGACACGGCGGCGGGCAACGCCAGTTCGGGCATGGTGCGTAGTGGACCAATTCGGGCACCGGCTCACTTGCGTGCCACAGTACGCTGGGATTATCAGCCGGATATTTGCAAGGATTACAAGGAGACGGGTTATTGTGGCTTTGGTGACAGCTGCAAGTTCTTGCACGATCGCAGCGATTACAAGGCCGGCTGGCAGCTGGAAATGGATCATGAGGCGGAACGGCGCGGTGATTGTGACTCCGATGGGGATGAGCACAAATACGAGATTCACTCGGACGAGGAATCGTTGCCGTTCAAGTGTCACATATGCCGACAGAGCTTTGTAAATCCGGTGGTCACAAAGTAAGTAAACTGCTCATACAATCGTTGAGTGTTATGCTAATCAACTTAATTAACGTTTCTCAGGTGCAAACATTACTTCTGCGAGAAATGTGCGCTGGCGCATTACAAAAAGTCGCAGCGCTGCATTATTTGCTCTCAGCAAACTAATGGAATATTTAATCCTGCCAAGGAGCTGATAGCACGCCTGAAAACGGAACCAATGGAAGAATTGGATGATGACGAAGATGATGATGACCATGAACGTCCACATGCCAAAAATACTGAGCAAGAGGTGCAGGAAATTTCATCTAACAGCGATACTGATTAGCGTTTAAGCTATAAGTTTTTAAATTTGTTTAAATAGTTAGGTTGGAAAAGTTTTATTATTCTTAATACATATTATTTTTACCAATAAAAGTGAATATTATCTTAATAATACCATGCATTTCTCAATTTCTGCCTGTTTACTGAGGATATTTGCCCAAATATCAATTTCTTTTTACGTCAGTATTTGTTGTTCCTACTGAGAAAAACGTTGTTGGATTCGTTTTATTTTGAATTTTTGAGCATAGTTCACATTTTAGAATAATGTTGAATTTAAAAAAGATGTCTCAGAAATACTAACAAAAAAAAGGTACAACAGAAAATTAAACATTAAACAACTAAGATAAACCATAAAATGAAAAAATATATATATTAATTATATATTGAATATTAAGTAGATTACATTTTTTTGTTCTTGAGTGGAGACTTAAAGGACTCACCACAGTAGTCTCGTCAAGACTAGTCTTCAAGTCCCACACAACGTGATATTTAATAATACTCTCAATCTTACTCTCATCCGAAAATTTTGCTGACTGCTGACACTATCTCAATGAATTAATATTAGTAGAGTGGTGCCATAAATAGGCCAATACTGATGCTAACCTAGCTGAAACTGCCACCAATTAGTAGCCGTAGTATCCATGGTACCAATTCAACAAATGGAATCGCCGTATTGTAATTTGGATGATCAAAACTAGATATTGGTGTTGTATACCCATGGCAACCAATGGACGGGATTCTATTTGAAAACAACACGTCAAACTTCAGTTACACTGGAGGTACTTGTTAAATTTATCTAACTACCATATGGATAACAAACATATAATTAACATCTTTCCATATTTAACAAACTCATGTGAATAAAAAAAATGAATATATATCGGCTTGAAAGTAACACATAAAAGCTTAAGCTATTAGTTTTCAAGTCAGAAAATAAAGTATCTTTTTCATTTTTGAAATGATCGACCATTTGGTTGGTTATATATATTATATTATAAAGTATATATATTTTTGAATAGATTCGGGTGTCTGAATACCATTTCCTCAGAAAGCCTTAAAGCTAGAGACTTCAAATTTAGATTTCGGAATACCAAGCGCAGATCAAGTTAATTTATTTTTGATAACTCTCCCGATTTCTGGTAGCAAAAAAACATCACAGTTTTTAAGATATAGCCGCAAACATAATATTAATTTGGTGCCATCTGACACACATTTTGCGAGTTAGATAAAATACAACAAGTGACCTTAATTATAGCATTTGCTTTCACGCCAACTGTTTGCCATTGTAAAACATCTGATATATAAAGTCAAAAACAATTGAAACTCATCTAAGTATAACCGTATAAGTCTTCGCAATGATTTCCAAAGCACCACTTTGCTTCGGCTTTCCGTGGATGCTGCTCCTCCTGATTGGAGGCTGTATCAGCCGAGTAAGTCAGGTGAACAGGCATTATTTTAAGCTACTATAAGGTAGTACTTTTTGTTCTTACAATAGCGCACTTGGAACTTTGAGATTGTTTCAGTATCCAGCTACAGTGCGAACGAGAGCATGCTCAATATCAGTGTTGGCATACAGCAAAACTCTCGACACGAAATGAGTATGTCGGCGGTAATAGAGTGGAAGTTTGATGCTGATGAGACCATGATGGTAAGTTCTATGAAGAATTGCGAAAACCAGAAATAAAAATTTGTTCTGTTTGTTCAACAGGTTGAATTCCGCAGTTATCGTTCTTATAGCGGTTATGAGCACGACTACAAACTGTTGCCCTATAGAATTTAGAAAATGCGGCTGTTCGACTTCTTCAACTCTTTTTACAACACTATAGTTTATTCGAACGTTGACATGTGTTCAAATTTCCAAGATTTTCGCAATGGATTTAAGCCGCCCTTCCTGCAGGATACGTATAAAATGGAGAACTGTTTGTTAGCCGGTGAAGGTTCTCCAGATGTCTTAACAGCGGGCTACTATAAAAATTTAGTTGAATAGGTTAATGCTAGTATCTCGCTTGGTTTAAAAGTTATGGCCAACAATTTTACAATTTTGTAAGTGACGGTGTTATTAATATTGTAACTTTTTAATCTTACTACTATGATAAGTGGAAGCGGAATCATCATTTCTACCCATGCATAAGCTGTGATTTGAAGATTTTTAAAAACATGCATGTCAAATTTATAATTTTGTGCAACCAGATTAGAGATAAATAATTATATGACGATTATTGCGAGATGATGTTCAATTGTGTTGTCCCCTAAAATATAGACGGAGTTAGAAACATTTCACATTCGATCGTCAGGAGCAAAGGTCAAAGCAATCAAAGCCATAAAATAATCGAGTAAACAACAATGTGGATAAACACGTAGAGCACAAGTCTAGAACAATAAAGAGCAATTTTATGCTCATAATTCAATTGGCAAGAGTTTCATTTCCGCTTTCTTAGGCATCAGCAAACAAATTTTCTGTTGGGAGACGACGCGGTTGCATTTCTGATTGCTTATCTGACTTTCTTGCATTCTTTGAGAGAGCAGCTCGAATAAATTGTGTGTTGGCAGAGGCAAAGGACCCAACACCAAGAAGCCCTGTAAACTTGTTTTGCTTTCATTGTGTGGCGCCTAAAATCCAAATACGTCCAATATTCATTGCTGCCAGGGTCTGAGGCTAAGCCGCAAATTCTGCCTGCTCGACGCATTACTTACATATGAGCTCATAAGACTCAAACACAAAACCGACAAAGACCAAAAAAGTTGAATATTGCTCAATGCACACAAATCACTTTGGAGCCGCTCCCATCGTTGCAGGCATAAATCTCAATGGACGTTCGTTCTGTTGAAAGTTCGATGAATTTGTAGCAAAGTTTGTGGCGTTTTTGTATCAGGCCAATAGTTAATTGAAGCGTTGAAGGGAAATTCAAATAAAAATCAACTGTAAGGTCTGATAGGCATAATATGTCTAATACAATTCAAATAAAAAACTAACCGCAATCAGCTTAAATATGAGTTATCAATTAGTAGCATAGATAAAAAAAATAAGAAGCTTAGAAATTTTTTATAATATTTAAAAATATCTATCGATGGCTTGTACTTGTCAAAAAAAAAGAAATCCTGAAAATGCGACTTTTTTCTATGGTTCCTTGGCTTTGAGAAATAAAACTGATGATAGTAAAATTGAAAAAGATTTTCTCTAAATTTCAGTTCGATTATTCTTCTGAGTGTACAGGAAGTTAATTTGATACTTGTGTTGTGTTGTGTTGCAAACCAATTTTTTTTTATTATATGTAAAGATACCATGTACTTTTCTCAATACACGATTTGTGTGCGTAATTAATAAAATTCAATATTTGTCTACTTTAACTTGAGAAGGCAGCAGGAGCCACAAAAGCCCACAAGTCACGTACACGCAGCTCTACTCTTAGCATCTTAGGATCCTAGCATTGGAATTTGACACCTAGTCAAATAATTGAATGACAAAATCGTGCATGACAAAAGCAAGTAAATTGAGCGGGCGAAACATTCTTGAACGTTGACTGCTCAATATAATTTACGACAAATCAGTTTTAATTATTTTAATAAGCTCGAACGCAATGTATGTACGTGTTGTCGACCATTTTATAGTTTATATGTATGTATATACATATGTGTGTGTGTGTATGCATGTGTGTGTGTGAGTGTGTGTGTATGTGTAGCTGTCGCATATCGAACTCGATATCATTAAGCACCTCGTACACGTCGTCAAATGGAACAACAAACGCTGCTTTGATTAACAGAGCGCGTTGAGGAGCAGTGAAATTAACACGCTGCAAACGCTGTCCAATTAGCAAGTGGATGCCGTTATGCTGTGTTCTGATCCACTCTTCACCTGCCCTCCTCTAACTGCTCTCAGTAACAATTAAGCGCTAAATGCTTTTGACGCCTACAACAAACGTTAGTTAGCAAAGGTAGCTCGCAGGATGACGAGCTTATTATTGCTTTGAGACTCGTACTAATAAATTATATTCATATTATTCAATCTTATTGCCCTACTTGGATTCTAATGATAATCATAAATCAGTATATATAATTTTTTTCACTTTTCTTTATTTAAAATCCGTGCCTTGGGGGACTATCGATTAATTATTTAACAATAGATTAACAGTTCTTATATAAAATTATATGCATAGTGCGTGGATTATTGGGAATATACATTCAAGTTTCGTGAAAATTATTTTAACAAATTGCAAATCCAAAATATTAATCAAGGTGAGAGACGTTCTGAATTAGGTGTTTAAGCAAGTACCAAAGCAAGCGTTTTATTTTACAAGGAAGAGACACATAATCATTTATTTGTGTTAAAAAAAAAACAACAAATAAATGCATTATGAGATTAATAGCTTTAATACATACGTCGCTTGTTAATACATACAATTTCTTAATATCTTACTTGAGTATCCACAGTGCTCTATAATTATTTAATGAAATATGTAATGTGTATATGTGTATTATTGATATTATTAGCATTCGAATTTATTTATATCTTAGTTTGGTATTTCATATTCATTTTTATTTTTAAATTAGGGCATAACATTAATATTTTTGTTAATTTTGGTTTGGTAGTTAATATCACTATTTTTTTTACATTTATTATTTATTTTTATTAAATTAATTTTTTGAAAATTTAGTGGCATTGAAAACTTAGTTAAAATTGATGTGTGCTTCAATAATGTTGAATATATCAAGATAACTACATATATATGAGAAATATAATATATATATCAAATACTTAAAAAGTGTCCCTCGTTTATTTATTTACATAAGCAACTGGCGATTGAATTTTGTGTATATGTTACGCATACGCCGCGTTGCCCGCACGTTTTGGAATGCTGTTTGTGTTCGTTCTCTTATTTATTGGCTTCTAATGTCACTGGCTATTATCCCATGGCCAACGTCCGGTGGCACTGGCAATAGAAGGGAAGCAGTTCAGCAGCTCGGCAGCTCGGCAGCTCAACTTGTCGTTTATTCTGTCAATTATCATTAATTTCGAAATGGTGCTGTCTTCACCAAGGTTGTCGCACCTTTAGCACGCCCCCAACTTGAAGGCACGTACGCCGCAGCTAAAATGTCTCCAGCCATATAAAT